TCTTGTAAGGTTCCGCACCCAGGGCGCGGATCGGCTCTTGGGTGACCAGTATGGGCCCCACGCGTTCGGACGAAGAAGGGCTTACGGGGAGGACCCTTAAGCTCCCCCTTATACCTCGCTTCAAGGGTCTTCGAAGGGGGCTTCAAGGGGGGCTTGAGGGTGACTTCCTTGAGGGGACTTTCGCTATGGAAATTTTTGGAAAGGACGAGATATGTGTTATTGTTTGTGTTTATTGTGAATGATGTGGCCAACGACTAATCCCCGATAATTGGGAGAATGGAAAAAACATCTATTGCACACAATTGTGTAAACCGCACCCCCCACAGCCAGCACGGAAGACTTGTGTATACAGCAAGCACACCTCTACGCAGGGTACTGCATTTCCTGTATACGGACGTCCCTTTTTGGGGAGCCCAAGGCAACGGCTTGAAAATATGCGGCCACCCCCAGATCTGCACGCGCTTCTTCCATATGACTGCACAAGTTGCTTCCCTGCATTGGTACATAAAATGGACACACCGAAAGCACCGTAAAGTAAATTACTATACAATCGTTCTTGTCGCCATGTGCATGCAAACCGCGCTGCTGTATGTCACCACGGCCCCAACTTAATTTGAGGATAGTTCATGTGTTGGAGAAGTTGAAAATGCTGGACAGTGTGCTATTTGTGTTTACGTGATGCTAAAAAACTTCGTAGGTTTTGCATGTTCTAGTGTTTTTGAATGTTCTGTAGTAATAGTGCTATTACCACAAAGAAATACTACGCACTCTTGTCGCAAATACGATCTGTTTCCGGCTGCGTGCAATGTCTCCAATCACGTGCACATGACATAGGGTAATTTTGGGGCTATAATACGTGGAATGAAGTTTCCTTTAAAAAATTAATTTCTAATAAGGTCCTGCACACCATTGGTAGAAGGAATCTGTTGTTAATGATTAGAAAGGGTTGCTTCAAAAGTATGGTATGAGGGACCTATTCTAGGTTCCTGTGCTTTAAGGAATGGAACATTATCCAAATTACTAGAACCCCATACAAGTTTAACATTGATCCTCACACAAGCTCTTTAAGGGAACCCCATTCAAGTTATTAAAGACTTTTTCTCTCAGAATCCTTATATAGGACCCTTATATTGACGCCCCCCGTGAGCCCTATTCAATTTATCAAAGCTGATATATCGTACAACCCTAATATATATCCCTGAAACTAACCCAGTAAGGGAAATCCTATTTATTATGAGAGATGCATATTAGGGATTTGTGACATAGCAAGAGCAGCTGGGAGTAGCCGAGCCAAAGCCAGGAACTCAACAAGCTTGCCAAGTCCTGGCTCAGGCACGGGTTTTCGCTTTTTGCTGCCGCGGCTGCATGGCGAACTTGTAGACCTCATCGAATGCGCTGAACAAAATCCTTTTGCAGCAGACTGAACCACTGCAAACCCCCGACCGCCAGCCTTGGGACTGGCCACACACACGACTCGACAGCAAAAAGACGATACGATGCCTCCGAGATTTTTTGCAAGCGGGCCCAACAAAAACGAAGAAAAGACCTTATATCGCAACCCAGCCCGGTCATGGCAAAGGATAAGCTTTCATCCTTCCAGCAGATTTTCAAACCCACCGTGCTTGGCGAACACGTGGTCCAACCTGCAAAACGTTTTTGTGCTTTCGATCGTGGTTCTTATGGAAAGCATATAGCTGAATGAAGTGTTTTCAAGACTTGGGGGCAGCGAAAATCTTGACACGTCCTCAAAGGTGCCGGAGTCGATGATGTATTAAATATATCTATAGGATTCATTGCTCGATAGATATTTCAGTTTCATTATTATTATTTTTTTTAAATATTGAAAAATACTTGCTTCAGAATTCGAATTATTTTATGGTATTGGCCATTACGTTCGTGTTGCTGATTGGTAACGAATTTCGTGACCGCAACTCACAAAATTTTGCGTAGATTGTCTTAGTTAGCTTCACGGCAGCATACGAGAACGAGAATATGGGGCGCATCTCAAGTCTAACACTCTGCATAATGAACTGGGAATCTACTTCTATTTGCGCTTTGGATGGCCTCTTGAAGGCCCGTCGACTAGATTAGATTCAACCCTGGAACTCATTAAATACTATAATGCTACAAAAATTCCAACAAATTAAAATTCTCGCATTTATTACCAGGCCAAGGCATTTCCGTGATTCGTGATTTTTAGAGTAAGTGAAAATTGATTTTCTTTGGCATTACAATATTTGGTTAGATTTCAGCAACGAAACACTGCCATGTTCAAATTTTGTGAGATTTGAGGCTGGGAAAACACAATTTTGTTTGATCATTGCATTATTTCGTGGCCGTAACTTCACTAAATACTGTAATGCCCAAAAATTTTTGAATTTGAGAATTACAATGTTTCGTGCACCCCGTGCCCCATGGTGCTTAGGGTTATTCAATTTAATTAAAAAGCAACCAAGACTCGGCAGTACCGTTTGTGACGGGCAAGAATGGGCTCGGCAATACGATTTGATATGGCCAAAAGCAATTCAAAAAGAACTCTGGACGTCCAGCAATGCGATTTATCACGGCCATAAATCAGTTACAATATTTTTTCAAAACGAATTCTTGCAGTGTCGGCAGAAATAACCACCAAAACTCGGCATGGCGGTTTTTTACGGCCAAGAGTCGGTCGAACAAACCAGCAAGATTCCCCAGCAAAAAAAAACCAGCCAGACTCCGTTGTACGATTCGCTACGCCTAAGAGTAGGCTAGAAGACGCCAGCACGACCCGGCACTACAAATTTTGAAACGGTCAAGACTGGAACAGAAAGAGTTTTCAAAAAACAAGCAATATATTGCGGCCAAGATCGTTGCCAGAACAAGCCACCAAGTCCCGACTGCCCTTGAGGCTTGCGCCTGCAATCTCTTCATCGGTGAAAGGCTGAATACTTGACCAGCTTGGGGAGCAGTCTTTGGGTTGCCTTTCATTGCAGATCCCTGAGGCCTGGGTCCTGAGCCACCATAATTATTTGAATCGCATGCTCCTGATAATGGCACCATGGTCATAAGCAAAACCAGCGGGCAATGCAAACACAACGGAACAGCCGTGGGCTGGCCCTCAGCAAGGATCTGTTGCTTCTCGGTCGGGGGCTAGGAAACCGCCTTCGCTTTACCGGCCACCAGGATTCCATGTTGCTTTGAGCCAAACTCAAAACGAGACCCTGGGTGGCTGGATTCTTGGAATGTGGCACGCTGCTGGAGCTGGATTTACCAAAGCGATTGCCTGGCATCCCCACAACCAAGAAGTTTACGCAGTCGGTTGCCATTCCTGACCAAATGAGGCCATATAGCACTCAAAGTATCAAGAGTGCTTCAGACAAATCGTAATAACAAAATGAAATCCAATCGCCCAACTCCGCACAAGTGCAGAAGTGCAACAGAAGTAAGGCAAAAGCAGCATTCTTTTCGTGTATGGGGGCGAAAGGGCCACGCAAATCGTTTGGAGCACATCCATGCGAAAACAACTTGGTGACGCGCGCACAACCTCTGGCTCCAAACCTCCCCACGACCAGTCAAAGACAGAACTTGAACAGGTGTGGGTGGGTGAATGAAAAATTTTCCGTGGTGGCAAGCTCAGCCACTACTTGAAAAACTCACCGTATCCAAAAAATAAAGTAAAACATAATCAAATCGCATGGTGTCGAAACTCACAGACATCCATGTCACGTGTTGGCCACGAAATACAACCATTGGAGCAAATCCAAAACTTTGTTTGAAAGCGCAATATCCGTAATTTCAAAACAGGTAAAGCAATCTGCACAAGCAAAGAAGAAATATATCCGGACCTGTAATTTCTGAAATACTCGCAAATAGAAATTCAAAACATGATAATGATTCCTAGTTCTCAATGAAATAATTCAAAGATATTATATGAAAAAATTGAAAATTCTCATTTCTTAGAATGACTTTTATTCATCCTCCATATCTCAAAAAATTGGAAAGAAAATATTTTGCCTTAGCTCTTCATATAGGAAAGCGATACTTAATTTCTCTTTCTAAATTCGTATTTCTAGAATCTATCGATATCATTATGCTTCACTATCCGTTAAAATCCTCCGGTCTTTCAAGGAATACTCATGCGCCTAGCCAATCTAAGGAGAGAGGTTTGGGATTCCAAGATGTATTAGCATTTTTTCTCCGGCCTAAAGATCCAAGACGCGCAAGCCCGCCGCGGTATTACAGAACAGAGCATCGAGCAACAACAACCTCTTAGTAGCGGTCAAGGCGTGGGATTCAAGGGCTAAGGTTGAACATTTATGTCTCTCCTGCGCATGTGCATATGAAAGAGTTCCTCGAAACAAGACAAACTCGCAGATATGCGCGCTCGCATCTCTAGAGCTGCGTTTCTATAAAGTTTTTTTTATTCATAGAAGATTCTGGGGGATAGTGGAACCGTCATTTTGCAAGTCCATTCGTCCCGCTGACCTTTCAGCAGCAAAACGATTAGCCTGGTATGAAATTGTGTCGGGAATACTTGCTGATCCCTTCCCATCGAAGACCCGCCCAACTAAGAGTAACAAAAACAACGATAACAGAATAATGATATTGAGTCCGATACTAACGCTAATAATAACTATAGGTCTCATCATTAGTAACAATACTACTACAACAGCAATCATACTGATAGCAATAGTCACGTCTCTTATTGTTATTACTAGTGTTGCTTCAGCAAACACCAAGGTCAATTACGCGCGAGGCACTGGCCTCCAAGAGATCCAAAGCTGGGGGGTCGACGTTGACAAACATGGAAAACAAGGGAGTTTCCTATAATTATCTCTATTTACTTTCTATGAGGAATCTAATTTCTTCCTCATAATCCTTTATTATCACCCTGGGGTCCCTTAGGGCACCCCTATTTCGAGAAATTCCTAGGGATCATTGCACATGGCAGCTACAAAAATCCAGCTTGTATAATAATTGTATACGCGCTCTGTACATGCGTGAGTTGCAGCGAGGAAATCTCAATCCATGGTGGGCACCCGCACATCAGGCTGTGGCGTTGAATCGGCCAATTCGAAAAAGAGCAGAGCCGCAGCAACCGAGCACAGCGTGCACAGGGCTAGGCTACTGCCCACGAACCAGATGCCCAAAGAGGCCAGGCTACTGCCCACAATCAGCGGAAGGAACACATCCGCCAGAGAGTTGAAAAAACGGCTGCCGTTCATGAAGGATCTCTTGCGACTTGGGCATTCGGGAGCATGGACAATGGACAGGGCGATGGCTGCGCCAGCACAGAGGCCGCAGCCTATTCCAAGGAGACTGGCTCCGTGGACGTAAAACCCAACTCCCTGCATGCAGTGAAGCTGGATTCCTTGGTAGCCCAGTAACCATGTCACAATAAGGGTATACAGGAACCCCAAAAAGGGCAAAAGAGTACCACTGGGCTTCCTAGATTCCAGAAGCTGCCACCAGCAGTGAAACCAGCACCACGGGCAAAATGCCCAGACACTCCATCAAGAAGCCCCCCACCGGCGCTGCGACCAACGACTCCATCCTTGGGTGCTGTTCAGGAACTTAATATTGGAGTTCAAACGACGGGGACACGTGGAAAATAACAGGGTTTTCCTAATTTTGGTAAGTTAAATTAGGTTCCTTAACAGCAACCCAGCATCTGTGACATGAAAGCCACGTGGCCGACGAGGTTGGTATGAAGCCCGCTCTCTGCGCCAATCAGCGGTATCAGAAACCTGGGCTAGCTTTGAGGGTTTAGGGTTTTGGGCGGGCAGCTCTACAAAAATGGACCTTTTGTGGGTGAGACGGGGATAGTAGCGATTGTGGCCCAAAACAATACAATCCTGAAACCTTCAACTAAAATCTAAAGCCGCTAAGTTAAACGAAAACCTAGCCTAATCCCCTAAACATTTCCAAGTCAATCCGGGAACTTCTGGGACTCCCGCACAATGGCCATGCTGAAGATGAGGAAGCAAACCTTCCAAAACCTGGGTTGCGTAACTGCAAATCCTGACCACATTGGTTTAGGGTTTAGGGGTTATGTTTCAGGGGGGGTTAGGGTTTAGGGTTAACTGAAAGTCAGTTGTCGTAAAGTCTTCATGACCAATTCCTGCATGACCGCATATACCTATACCCTAGGAATTATGGTAGTGTGCGTCAGCAGTATTACAATATACATCCCCAAATTATGGCGACTTAACTTAAGTTCCTAACCACACTAACCCCTAAATCTCAAACCCTAAACCCTAAATCCTTAAACCTCACAATCGTCCGGAAACTGCGAAGTGAAGACAACGGGCCCCTCATGCAGCTCGCCTTCCTGGCCCTCTTCCGTGGGGACCTTTTCTCTCCCCACATCCTGTGCTGCCGTTAACTAAGGTTTAGGGTATAGCGGGTATGCAGAGACCCGGGGATCTGGCCCTCCGTTTCGGACCCCCCCTGAAGCTTGAATTTGAAGCTCGAATTTGGCGCCTGAATTCGGCGCGTCTTCGTTGACGCCTAAAATGGGCTGACGCTTGAATTCGGCGCCGGAATTTCGACCTGGTCGCCGCCTGACGCCTGAAATGGTCCTGACACTTAAATTTGGCGCTGACGCTCGAACTCAGTCCACGGAAGCCTGACGCCTGAAATGGCCCTGACGCCGAAATTTGGCGCTCGAAATCCCCGAAAACTAATTCAGTCCACGTGCAGAAAGATGCCCAAAATGTTCCATTCAGTCGCTCAAAATGGCTGCCCCCTCAACTCGGCTCACTCGAGCCTGACGCCTAAAATGCCCCTGATAAATTTGGCGTTCGAATTCCCTGACGCCGAAATTCGGTTCACTGGGTGCCTGACGCCTAAAATGCCCCTGACGCCTAAATTTGGCGCTCGAAATCCCTGACGCCGAAATTCGGTGCACTTGGAGCCTGACGCCTTTCGGCGCCGAATTTCATCTTCGGAGCCGACTTTCGTCTTCGGGGCCGACTTTCGTCTTCGGCGCCGAATTTCATCTTCGGGGCCGAATTCCGTCTTCGCGGTCGAATTTCGTCTTCGCGCACAATTTGAGCTTCGGCTCCTCGCTCGCAGACATTTTCGTCTTCGTCTTCGCATTTTGAGCTTCGGGGTCTGAAATGTGGGACCTTTTTCCCGTGTCAATGTAAGGGTATAGGTTTAAGAAGGGTTTAGCGAAACCCATATAATTCACTATAAATCTCTATTATGTTAACTTAGAAAAATCCTGTCCGTAACCGCAATCAAGCTTCTTGCAGGATGGTGGGCTCCGTCTTTGGGTTGGAGGGAGAGCCAGCGGCAAAAAGGAGGATGATAAGGAAGATGTAGAGCAAAATTCCGGTGGTACAGAGGAAGCCCAAGTTCTTGGCACTCGTGCAATCAACAACAGCAGTAGCAAAGGCTGCGCCGGCGATGCCCAAAATGTTGGATGCACTGACCCAGCCGGACATGAAAGCCTGCCCCTCTTGAGTCCCTCCAGTTTCCTTCAGCATTGACGTTGCCTCCGCTGTTTCCGCGCGGCCTGCCAACTGCTCCTTTACCACCTCGGCTTGGTAGAAGGTGCGCGCCACAACATGCATGGATTGCGCGAAGCCCACGAAGAACGTGGCTGACACCAGGCCCGCGAAGGGCTTACCCTGCTCTGTAAGGAGCGCTCCACTTACCACACCAGCAAGGCCCAACGCAGCACTCAGCACAAACATTGACCAGGGAGACCAAAATTTCCCCAGCTGAAAGGCTGCCACGTTAGCCGAGACCAACCCTAAACCAAAGCCGCTTGCCACGATGCCCGCGCCGCCTGCGTTCCCGATGCCAGAGTTCACAATGTACTGAGGCGCGGCCACAATCAGCGCACCTCCCAACAAGCAGGGTTGACAAAGGCTGCAGCCAAGTTCTGTCACAGTCCTACAATATGCTTTTAAATTCCAAACTTTTTCGCCTCCGCAACCATGCATCACCTCGGGTAGACTTGCGGGCTGCATAAAAAAAAAATGTCTTTCTGTATGCGTTAGAAAGTTATATAAAGACCCATGAATTGCACAGGATACTTCTAAATCAACCGCAGTCACCGTGTTGGGCAGTAGCAAAGTTGCCCACACCCTCTTGGAGATGCGGTACCCGCCCCTGGCTTGGCAGCAGACTGGCGACGAACCCTGCAGGAACACGAACCCCAGCATCAGCGTTACAAGCGCGCTTGCCACCAACAAGGCCTGGTCACTCACTGGATGCCCTTAAAATTAGATTACACAGGGGCGATTAGGGGGTATTGTACAGTGATTATATGGGTTGGTGTATATATATGTGTATATACTATGAGATGATTAATAGTAATTTAACAGTAGTGTTCCTTAATAACCCCTATAACCCCTAAAATAGCCCCTACAACGCCCGTGATAACATGCCCGCTATGATAACCCCTATACCCTGTAAAGGAAAGCTATACACACATCCAAAAAATGCCAACGCAGCTAAACAAAAATCAAGAGGCCTGGACAATATGCCACTTTAGGTCAGAGCTTTCGACAGAACTGTCTGACATTGACATGGCGCCGAGATGCGTGGGGCGTCCTGAAATCAGTCTACTAGGTGCTACAGCATACCAGGAACTGCTTGATAATGTTGCGCAAAGCCTGCTTCAGGGACATTCGGTGCACGCATGCCCATGCAAGTGTGTACTGCAGCCGATCAACATCCTTCTCTATCTATGTTCATTGCTCTGAAAACGCATAAAACATGCACATTTCAGCTGATGGAAGGCGGCTTTGCCGCACTCTCTAGGCAGCCTTGCTTTCAAACCCAAAATACAAACTACTTTCCAGAGCCTGCACAATATGCCACTTTGGGTTTTCGTGTAGAACAGAACAACGCGGCAACCAAGGTTGGCTTCGCTTTAGCTGCATATTCGATGAGATATGCAGATTTTGTGCCCTGGATTGAAATGGTGCCTGTGGCTTCTGTTACAATCAGCTGTGACACACACACACACACTTTGTTTCGAGAATGTTACAGCTTTCTATGGTATTAGGCTACGGCCTTCTCTCCTAGAGCGAATGATTGGGGTTTGGTTTGCACGTTTTTGTCACTGTCTGAGACATGCGAGAAGCCAGCTTGATACTTGAGAGCTTTGCCAAGCCCCCCCCCCCTCAACTGAATGAGGATTGCTGGCTGGTGGTATTGGCCGCTGGCGATAGGATACTTACGTACCTTGGATTTCAATCAAGAACGACACTTCTGGAAGCTCCAAGACTCGAGCCGTTTTTTATTGTCCGTGCTGCTCTGTCAGTCAATCTGATCCACTGACCTAAACGCAGGCCCCTCATGCCCTCATTGGGATTCGGTTGCCGTTGCAACTCAGGTGCAAATTTGCAGCGGCATGCTCTCCGGCTTCGCTACTATGGATGGAAATATAGATTGGCTTGTCATCGATAGCCTAGCAAGGACTGTGCCTGTCTCCCGGTGGCAAAGCTGGGGCTGAAAGCCACTTGGTGGTTTTCTTCTGTTTCAGGGTCTAAGTTCTTAGTGTAGTTCGGGCGTCGGTATTAAACCTTAAAACCTTAAATAGTATCCACTTTCGTTTTATCTAGGTCAGCAGATTGATAAAGTTGTATAAACACAATAATGCGACCCTAGTGTCTTTAGCTGAGCTAGAATCGTGCAGCTGATAAGGCTGAGTCGGTGGTGGCAACCAAACAAATAGATATGCAACATCTAGTATCTAGGCCCGGTCCGTGTTGTGGTTAACTATACATAGCCCTCGAGAGCACTGCCGAATCAATGCCACGGCCATCCAGTCACCACGCTGCTGTAGATCCTTGGATTCGAAGGGGCTGAGCCGGGGGTCAGCAATAAAGAGAGTGTTGTGCAGCACGTTCCGAAAGTGCTGGCATGCCTGACATGCATTCATAGCAGCCTCTGCCTGATTTCTGACCTATGACGGATCCCCGGCTTATTTGCAGGTGTCTTGGCATGCTACGCGAACCCATGTTTATTGCTGTGACTCCTCCAGTGAGTGAAGTCTAGGAAGCAAGTAATACTAATACTAAAAAATAGCAAAAACAATCATGATGATAACGATAGTCATAATGATAATGATAAAAATGACAATAACAACAGTAATAATACTAATGAGAATAATAATAATAGTAATAATAATAATAGTAATAATAATAATGATAATTATTATTAATAATAATAATAATAATAGCAATAACAACAATGTTAATATATGGCTGGGACGTGGGTAAGGACGCCACGCTTTGATGGAGATGTCATCCAGGAGGGTCAGCGTGAGGGTCAGCTGCATTCTTCCAACCTTGCTCCAGATTCACTATTGTTACTACTGTTGCGATTACGATTATTACTATTACTACTATTGTTACTATTGTTTGTCGACTGAAGCAGCAATCAAAGAACAAAGCTGCCCCGCAAAGCTATTCCCGAGCATAGGACGTCATACCGCGCAGCTCAGGACACTTCGGCTAGATGCCTGAGACAGTTGGGCACATCTGTGTATCCCATTGCAAACTGCAGGCTGGCACCAAATTGCTAGAGGATAGATCGCATGCCTCGAAGGGAGGGGCAATTCGGGCAAACCGAGTCTGGGCAACCCTGAAAGATACTTTGCGAAGGTGGTGAGTGCTCTGGTGCGCATAAGGAAGAGAAGGGCAGCGCCTTGCCGCAACCCAGCCCGCTCACCAAAGCAGCTTGCGAGTGGGCACAATGCCCCGACAACCAAATATTGAGTGGAAGGGCAGCTGCAATGCTACATCAAAAATCTGTCACACCAGGGGCCGCGATAAAAAAAGAGGAGTCACACTGAGGATACTCCACTGACCCGAAAACGAGTGAGCAGCTCTGGAATCCCAACAGGAGTGGGGTGACCAAAGAAAAATCGCCCCCAACAACCCAACAAGTCTCAAATGGCTTCAAACTGCCATAGCTAGTTCGAATTCCCCTCCCCAAAGGCCTGGAGCTCAATGCGAAGCAGGTCCAGGCCTGGGCACCGGCGTGGAAGATCTGCACCTGGACCACTTGGAGGTTCAAGGGTTTAGGGTTAGGGTT